CCAAAAGTATGTGGGCAGCAGAGGAGAACAAAGGTTTGAAATGTCAGAAACTAATTTGTGGAAAGTTCAAATCAGTATAAGGAAAAATTATAAGCAAAGGTTTTGGTTCTCATCAATGCCAAGTTAACTCAGAAATTCTCTCCTATCAAAAAACATATCAGGGGTCAATCAAAGAGTATGCAGCCAAAAAATAAAAGAAAAAATACTATAAGATGTTAAATAATAAATAAAGTAATTGTGCAGGCCCTACGGCTTAATGGTTAAAGGAGCAAGATACTATATGACTGATCATGGTTTGAATCCTGGTTGGCCCTGGTGGCTTGAAAAAGACACTGGGCACGTGCATTCATACCCCAAATCCCAACAGGATGAAGACACAGAGGAGAAAGGACTGCAGTGTGAACACACCTCTTTGGGGAGTGCTTTCTCCCTCTGCCTCTTTATGTCTCTCTGTTTCTCTCTGGGGGGCACAAGTACCCTCTGGCAAATTAAAAACAAACAGCTAAATAAATGTATACACTTTCATAAATGTTCTGTATTTTGCGATACTTGTAGTATTTTTTAGCTTTTAAAGCTTATTCATGTATTTCTTCCATAGGTGAGAGAGACCGTGAGAGAGAGAAATAGGCAGCACCCATGATAGGGCCTTGACACCGCAATCTTCCCTCAGCTCCAATCAGCCCCAGATCAAGGATAGATGTGTGCTCAGCATACTCAGGGAAGTCTTTGATGTAAACCGGAACCTTCTCATGTGGGTGAGCCTCACAGAGCATCACATTTTACTTCTGTATCCCTATCCAGACCCTATCATCTTTTTAAATGTATACTTTGTAGTATTTTTTTATCCTAGATTTCTATTATTTTAGCTGCCTCATCTGTGGTATTTCATCTTTGTTTATTTTATTTGCAATATATAGCATGTATGTGGATGCATGTACAAGAGAGAAAAAGAGAAAGGCAGCTATCCTTGACAGGGTCTCATCACATCAAAATCCTCTTCCCCTGGGCCTATAGCTTGTCAGGACCTTGAGGCACATCTGTGCCTGCCTACTGTGTTTCAGGTGATCCAGGCTGAGGTTCTGAACCTGTGGTTAGCCATGTGGCTTCTAGCACTGCAGTTCATTACGCTACTGCATGTGCCACAAAGGCTGAGCCAATTGCTTGAAATTAAACAAATTTGTATCTGTCATTTATGATTTTGTAGTCTATTAAAGAGGGCTGTCATAACCGTATAAGCTTCAGTTCCCACTAATCCTGCATTTGCCCCTGCCTCTGTAGGACTTGAGATTGCAAAACTGAATTGGACCTTCAGTGAAATGAGAATTCAGAGCTGTGAGTGGTCAGGGCAGTGGTTTGGAACTGGAGCAGGACACAGATCTAGCTCTGGTGTAAGCAGGTCGGGTCCCACATGCTACCTGGATTCCATTCCTGAGTCCATATCTGACATATATATCTATATATTTATCTACATATATTTCTCTCTCTCTCTCTCTCTCTCTCTCTATATATATATATATATATATATATATGTGTGTGTGTGTGTGTGTGTGTGTGTGTATATATGTAGATAAATATATATATATATATATATTCTTCCCTTCCCTCCCCAGCAAGGTCAGGCTGATGGACAGGCAGCTGTCATCAAAGCATCCAAATGAAGTCTCCTCAGTTTACTACCCCATCTCTCCTTCACCTCTTGCGGGGCCTAATGTATCAGAATAAGCAGCACATTCCTTTGCGTTTGGAAAATATTTGGGAATGAAATTATTGAAAGCAAATGTTCTTAGAAGCAATTTTCTCATAAATTGGTATGAAGTGTCCCTTTACCCTAAGGCTTAGGAGCTATGACTGAAGACAATGGTGATGACCTCCCAACTCTTGACTGTCTCCTCTGCACCAGGCAATGTGCTGCACAGTATCACATGTGCTGTCTCAGTCAACCCTGCAACAGGACGAGACAGAAGCTCAGAGGGGTCATGCGGCTCTAAGAGGCAGAACAAGAGATTAGGGCACCAGAAGAGTTAAATGACAAATTAGGACGAGAGAGCTTTAAACATTTCAGGCATTTCACAATCATGCCTTGGGCCAGCCCTACCCTTCACTGTTTTCTCCAACTCCAGTAAAATGCTGATTACACTTCTCCTAATCACAAGGAACAGGGTAGAATACACTCTGGATCATGTAAGGTAAAAAACTAACCCTTGGGCAATGTTCCCCAGCATAAGGAGCAAAATTAGGATTAAAAGCCAAAGGACACCTAGATTTTAACAGAAATCAGCTACCAAGGGGGAAGAGGCCTTCCAGATAACTAGAACTAGACAGTTAAACATTAGTGTTCAATGGTTTGAAGCGTTTAGATTTTGCAATGGTGTGGTTTGGAAGCTTTCCAGCAGAAACACTATTTTCTTTTTAAGAGGGGAGCTCCCTGTAATATTTTCTTTGCTGAAATAATGTGATCCTTAATGACGTCTTAAATGATCCACACTTTAAATAGACCCTATTATTTTAGCTGATCTCATTCTTCCTAGGTCAGTAATAAACTATCAACAGCTTCCTGATCATTAATCTTATTTACTCCAAAAACTGTTAGCCTGTTAGCCTTATCTGTGCTAAGAGGAAGCTTTTATATGTACCAGACTTCCTCAATGAATAAGAAAAAAGCAAACTGAAATTTGCAGGAAGGTCCAACATTGTGAGGTTTAAGAATGAAGAAACAGATCAAAGATTACGATGCCGTCCTGTCTTCAGCTCCTGACTTGCTGAAATTCTGTGGTTCATCTGGCACAGGAGTGGCTTTCCAGCAGAGTCAGCAGCACAGCTAGTCAGGTCAGGCAGGAGTGGTTCTCCGGGTGGCTTTTCAGAATGTACGGACACTCAGCATGTGCAGTTACCTGGGTGGTCTGGGTTGAGAAGCAACAGCGAAGGCATTACAAGTAATAACTAGAGAATTTCCCACTGGAATTTAACTTTCTACCTTTAGAGACTCATTCTTTTGATCCTGAAGATCTTAAGAGTCTGCTATTAAAATATAGCTGTATTCTTTGGTTGTCACCTACTTTAAAGCAAAACTGGTATCTGATAGGAGAGGGGGGTGGAGTATGTATGGTTAGAACTCATGGAAGAAACCCCAGGAAAAAGAAAGATAATGAAATAATAAAGTTGCTTTCTTCAAATAGTAGAAAACGTAGAGAGCTGATACTGGCCCCATCTAGCAATTTGTAAAAGTATTCTTTGAACATGTGAGTCTTAACATGTTCATGGATCATGGGTGGGTGTGTGTGTGTAAAACGAAAAGGCTTATTATTAGATGTAGCCTCTCGTCAGCATAGTATAAAGTTCTTCAGGTAAGGACATGCTTTATAATTAAAGGATTTCTGCAGCTGCTAATTGTATGACATGTACCCTTTCTTTTTGAGGCAAGTTTTTATTTTCAGAGATGATTTATTATAAATCTATGTTCTTGTCAGCTTAGAGACTTATACCAACTAACAGTTTAAATTTAATGTGTTCAAGTACATATGGATAAAAAGACTCATTAAGATGACCTGTAAGACAGATCATTGTATCCCATATTAGACAAAATAAAACATAAACATGGCATTTAGCCCAGTGTACTATGCATGCATTTTTATTACTCACTGCGGCAATGATGCGAAATTTGAACATGTCGTATAGTGGTGACGGTGTATATTAAACTGAAAGTACCAGATTGCATTGTGAAAAACTTCAGCAAAGCTGGAACTGGAACCTCAGAAGATCAAGGAACATTTCCCAGAAGGAATGAAGACCGAATAGCCATAGAATTTAATACATAGTATCCCCCCACCCCCTTTTTTTTGCTATAGGTCTTGTGTGTTCGCCAGAAAGACAGAGACAGAGAAACAGAAAGTGAGAAATCACTCCTTGAGGGGGATGGCCATGCCACAATCCTTTCTCCTCCATTCTCCTCTCGTGATCTTGGGCACACACACACACACACAAACGTCTGGCATGAGTTCAAGCTACTGGGTCCAGGACTCAAACTGCAGTCGACTACATGAGAGTCCAGCGACGTAGCCATTACGCCAATTGCTGGTCCCAAATTTAATATTTCCCTTCTTTCATGAAACTTTTTTTTTTTTTTTTTGGAGAGGTTTTTTTTGCTATAGGGCGCATGCGCTTGCCAGCCAGACAGAGAGAGAGAGAGAGAGAGAAAGAAAGCGAGAAATCACCCCCAGGGGGGAATGGCCACACCACAATCCCTTCTCCTCCATTCTCCTCTCAGGATCTTGGGCACACACACACATGTGCTCGGCATGAGTTTAAGCCACCAGGTCCGGGATTCGAACTGCAGTCAACTATGTGGGAGTCCAGTGACATAACCATTATGCTAACTGCTGGTCCCCCTTTCATGAAACTTTTTGAGAAATATCCTGCACCTGTTCACAAGCTCTGCTATAGATACATCAATGACTCACAAATATAATGCCCAACTGAGAAGTAAGAATGACCTACTGGTGACCTCAGGTTCTGTTCCAATTCTTTTTACATTACCCTTCAGAAAAGTAACTGGTTATATGTCTTGTTCTTTCTTTCTTTCAAAAATTTTTATTTGCTATAGAGTGCACGAGTTTGCAAGAGAGAGACAGAGAAATGGGGAGAGGGAACGTGAAAATGCACCCCACAGGGAGCAGGACCACATTGCAATCCCTTCTGCTCCATTCTCCTCTCGGGATGTTTGGGCATGCATACACATGTGCTCAGCATGATTTTCAAGCTGTTGGGTCTGGGACTACAACCTCACAATTGGCCATGTGGGATCCAGCCTCCTTAGCCTCTAGGCCACCTAGCTGGCCCTTTATGTGTCATTTTCTTATGTTAATGGTACAATCTTATAATATTTTTACTATGTGTAAGTCAGCATAAACTTTTTTTTAAAGGATAGATGGGGTATAAATATAATAATGTAGTACTTGAAATATATCACAGGACTCTTGTCGTCTCTCTATGTCTTTTCTTAGGTCATTTCTTCCATTCTCATGAATTTGAAGGCATTTTCATATTGATGAATCTCCACCTTCCTTCTATCATCACCACTTTAACTGAGGCCAGTGGTCCCTCTGATCACCACACAAGGTAAGAAATTAACTTCATGGCACTATCTCACACTTGCACATGTATATCAACATGCATAAAAATGGAATCAGAGTATTAGGAAATAAGGCAATGGCCCCTGGTACTTTCTGTTATACATTATTCTATTTCACTCTTATTTCCGGTCAAGATTATTGTGATGACTGTGTAACCCTGATGAATTGTGACCCACAAAACTGTCGTCTAAGCCAGCATCTTTTTTATGCCCAGATAGCAGACTATTAATTTACAAGTTTGTCTTCTGTTTTCCCCTTTAACTTCCTTTTTCATATAACAGCAAGAAGGGACTCAAAACATGAATCACATTGTTCCTTTGTGCAAGGCCTTTTAGCAGCTTTTTGCACTTACTGTAAAATCCAAACTCCTTACCGTAGCCTACATATTCTGACAATGACTCTTGCCCCCAGCCTTATCTCATGTTATGTCTGCCTTTCTTTTTTATTTATTTATTTTTTTTGAGAGGTTTTTGCCATAGGGCGCATGCGCTCATCAGACAGACAGAGAAACAGAGAGAGATAGAAAGCAAGAAATCACCCCCCAGGGGGGATGGCCATGCCACAATCCCTTCTCCTCCATTCTCCTCTTGGGATCTTGGGCACACATGCACATGTGCCTGGTGTGAGTTTAAGCCACCGGGTCTGGGACTCGAACCGTGGTCGACTACATGGGAATCCAGTGACATAGCCATTACACTAACTGCTTGTTCCCATGTCTGCCTTTCTTAATGTGCTCTGGCTTTAGAAACTTGTTTTGGTTCCTCCAGGATACCAGGTGTCTGCCTTCCTGGGTATGAGTTGCTCCCTCTGGCAGGAACACTCTTTTGCCACCTTCTCCTGCCGGGTGCTGCTTATTCTTTATTTCTTGTCTTATTTTTTCTACAGAGATCTTTCATGACCACCCTTTCTTTAAGCAGGTCATCCCTTCTTATTATCTATTTCAGCCCATTGTTTGAACCATCTTTGGGAAAAGGAGAGCAAAACATGATGGTAGGAAACTTCGACCAAGTAATAATCTGGATGGGATGACAGGAAGAGAGCCTAGAGCAGGAAACAGAATACTTTTGGGGGCTGAATGATGTTCACCTTAAGATGAAGAACCTGGACTTTGGTAATATGCCTTTATGTGATATATCTTGCCTGTAATCACTGCTTTTTAATTTTGGTTTAATATTGAATCATATTAATTTTGAAAAGTCTACATGTCTCTGCTTAGGTAAGAAGAATAAAGGAATGGAAAAGTTAGGTTACACATAGGCCAACAATTTACAGAGACTGCTAGGTCCCAGAATTAGTGGTGACAGTGGTAATCAAAGTGACAGAACCTTAAGGAAAGACAATTTGCAGGCCAGCAGGTGGTATCCAGATTAACATGCTGGATCCCACATGGCTGATGACATGGTTTGAGTCCCAGATCCTGTGTTTTGAAAATCACTCCAGGTGCATGTGCTTGCATGCCCAAAATTCTAAGAAGAAAATAGAAGAAATGGGATTACAACCTGGCCATCCCCCCAGCAGTGATTTCTCACTTTCCCTCCTCTCTCTCTTTTGAGTACATGTGGCCTATGACAAAGCAAAACAAAACAAAAACTCAAAAAAACAAAACAAACAAACAACTAAAAATGCACTTTGTAGGGGACAGAATCAGAGGAGGCCAATAGGGCTGGCTGCTGCCAGCAGGTGTTTTCTTGAAGATCTCTTCTGTATTCAGAAGTTAATCCAACAGTTTCAGGGTTTTTTTTGTTTGTTTGTTTGTTTTAAACCTTTTTTCCTCCTTTTTTTTTTCTTTTCTTCTTCTTTTTTTTTTTCTTTTTCTTTTTACCATGAGCAAGAGAGAGAAGGAGATCTTTCAATGGTGGATGCTGTGATTTCCTTCCGGCCTCAGCTAACCTGGGTCATGGGCATACTTGCTTGGTACACTCAGGGAGATCTTCAGATGGAAACTCAGAAGTTTCCCACATAGGTCAGCCTGGCAGAGCAGTGTGTTTTCTTGTACCACCATCTGGCCCCATATGCTGTTTTTTTTGTTTTGTTTTGTTCTAAGAATTATTTATTTAATTTTATTTATTATTATCATTATTTTTAATTTGTTATACAGGATGTGCACTCACCAGAGAGAGAAGGAAAGAGAGAAAATAAGCCACCAGGTCAGGGAACTTGAACCACAGTTGGCCATGTGAAAGTCTAGCACCTTAACCATCCCACACACTTCCTGGCCCCCATACACTGTTTTAATAAAGATGTTTCCATCCTTCAACCTTCCCTTCCACAGCTTTAGAGGTCCTTCTTGCATAGAGCTCAGGACTAACTTGCTGGCTCCATACACACACAGCACTGTCAAAGAGGTCCTATAAACTTCTTTGTTCTAGGGAACAAAAATTCCTGCTTCTTCCCCAGCAGTTCCAGATCTATGCAGAGATATTTGCACTCCTCTCCCTCAACAGCATTCAGTTGTGGGATACAGATTTAGAATGCATCTACTTTTGTATTTAGGTGGGACTTGGAATCAGCCAAATTTCTTGGAGCCTTCAGGTAGACATCCTGAGAAAGGTCTCCTGGCAACCTGAAGTTGGGATCATCATTTGAACCCTCAGGGACCTAGCTACCTTGGAGGAGAGCCACCTGTTTTCTGGCCCCACCCTTGGCCCTTGCTGGCCCCTACTCCTTAGACCTAATAGTTCCACCCTAGCTCCTGAAGAAGAGTTAGCTGGCACTGAGTGCCTATGAAGAGCTGAGCATGCTTTAAGGTACATTTACATATTTCTATTCATTTAATAATGACCAGTTCACTCTCCCAGCCTGGCCCTCTGTTACAATCTTGCATTTGTGGCTTATGAGTCTGGGACTAGGGGAGTATTCCCCCAAAGCTATGACCTGAATGTGTATGTATTGTGAGTGTCATTTTCTATGGTCTCAATCTTTTCAGTCCCCTGTAATTCCTCAACAATGATTTGTGTTAATTATTTTACTTTTTTTTCTCTGAGCCTAACCCTTGAAAGGTTTACTATGGCAATATGAAATAAAGTGTAGGCTGTTTATAAGGGGACTAATTGTTAGTTTTCATAGGAAAAATCAGTTTCAAAAATGAGGAAACAAGGGGCCAGTAGATGGTGTAGTTCTTGGGATGCTAGACACACATGACTGACTGTAGTTTGAGTCCTGGTCCTGGCAACTTGCTTTCTCACTGTTCCCTGCCCCCCCCCCCCACACACACCCCTTC